AACTTTTAGTTAAAAATGATAAAAACCGAACAGCCTACAGTATTTTTACAGTCTTTATTTTACGGTGGATATAGTTCGCAAGCAGCCTCGCACCGATGACCTATCCACGTCATCATTTACCCAGAATGCTTTGTGTGTAAATAAAACAGCCCCGTCCGTGTAATAATTTTTTAAACTTTAAGTTTAAAAATGATAAAAACTGAACATCCTACAGTATTTTTACAGTCTTTATTTTGTAGTTAAAATAAATGTTTATTAAATAAAGCCTAACGTTACAACTAATCACGGATCCCTTTGATAAAAGCAGGGAAGCAACTAAAACATGCAGGTAGTGGCCCTCAAGGACCAGGATTGAGGACCACTGGTCTGCATGAAGGGTAGAATAGTTTCTATGGAAGACAAAAATMTAGTTTGTCTTAGAGTTTTTGTTCTTTGTTCCTTTGAAACTTTAATAAATATTGATTTATTTTGTCTCTCTCTTTTTTTTTTTCCAGGAAACGAGGAATCGAAGTTGTTCAGGTAAGCAGATCACAAGTTTTCTTCTAAACTTTCAACAAAATAGTCATGTATTGTTTTAGTTGCTATATGTTTACATTTTCTACTGAGAATGCTTTTTATTTTATGATATTGCATCATATCGATCCCAGACTTGTGAAGTGAATCRAAATCACATGATGGCAGACATTGTGATATCCAGAAACATGGTATTTTCATCGAAAAATCGACATATCGTATCGTAATAAAGCTGGTGATTTACACCCCTTTAACTAAGTGGGCGGGTCAGTACAACACAGCCGCCAGAAACTTGCCTCCAACCGATTTAGTCCTGTTCTGTCTAAAAGGTTAAAAGTTGAGMTTGTTGTTGGGCTCATTTAATTATCAGTAAACCTTTTTCTTGTGTTTAATGATGAAGACAAAGAAGTGTTCCCCTTGAAAGAACGAGTTATGAGAGTAAATATTTTGCATTGACTCATCACCGCAAACCTTTTTGTTATATTGCTGTACGCTTCTGCAGGTTTACATCATGCATTTGTCTCATAGTCTTGCTGTTTTCTGTTTTTAAGCATTGGTCTTTTTTTTTCTCTACTTTTTTTTCCACACCTCACCTCAACTCTATTTTTGTGGTAATATAGAAGTGTGTTTAACAAGTGGTTACTTAGAATGTCAAAACTTGTTCTCATKTGRTTGAAACATTTAGAAACGTGATAGTAGTCATACCTTAACAAATAATTTGCCTATGTCTATGATCATTTAAGTGTCCTCTGGAAATGGAGTAAGTTAAAAAATAGCGTTGCTCTGTTTATAATAAATATTTGGTTTTAGTCTAGGGTAAAGTAGAGGTAATTACAGGCACCAAGGAAGTAAATGTGTGAGATCAATTCTGGATATACGCGGCTGTATAGTTGCAACAAAATCCTGTGAGCTACGTGCAGAACAGCAACTGTCAGTGTGAGTGTTCCCTGTGGTTTAAAAGAACATTACTGTGCTGGAGTTTTTTCTGTCTTTCACTCTGTTTCTTTTCTTCTTTGGATAATTTTTTTTGCTTCTCTTTGAGGTTATTTTTCGTCCTCTGACTGTGCTGACAATATCAGCACACTCAGAAACAACCTAGTCCTGGGAATAGTCCCAAAGTAAGCAGGGCTTTGTTTCCCACTCTGTGCTCGGCCCCTCCTGGGAGACGGCAGATCCTCACGCACTCCTCAGAGTAACCAAAGGCGTGGGACTGACGCAAACTCTGTGTACCTGTTGTCCACTGCCTTTTCTTAATATAAATCACTGTAAACTCTAGATTTTAGCTGGGTCAAACCACTAATTGAAGCAGTTAACTTTACGTCCTTCTCTCAAGGTATTTTTGAGTGAACACTTGTAATTTGACTATGCAGTTGGTGTTAATCAGAGGTTATGAGACCATGCACAAAGACAACAAACAAGCAGGCAAATTAAAACTATCCACCTTGCTTATCACAGCAGGTCTAGCATTGAGCTTATTTGCCTCCATTCATTATGCTTGAATTCCTGTATTGTTGCTATACAGCAAGTAAATCACAGTGAAGAAACACGGGGCTTATAGATAAGATGGTGGGGCAGTGAAATTTCAACAGGAAGTCGAAGTACAGGATTGAGAATGGCTGGTTTAGATCAATCATTTAACTTCTGTCTAATTGTAGGGTATGTTTTAGGTTTTAAAGAACGGTGAGAATAAAGCTGTTGAGAGGACAACCTTTAGAAGAAGGTGGTGGTACAACTACAAGGCTGCATATTTATCTCTTTCAGCCWGTTTTAATCACCTGACCTTGTCCCTGTGGAGTGACAGACTAGACTGACCCTGGTGATAACTCCAATCCTGGATATCCAAGGATAAACAAATCCTGACATAATAAATGATTACTTCTTGTTGTTTACAGTCTAATTACATAAYGTTGAGCTTATTTGTATGTGGGAGTCACAGTAAAGTGTTTTTGGTATGACAGCAGTGCGCAAAGAGCTTAATATGATTAAAGCTTAAATCATTTTGAAGGTATTTTGTTGATGACTGTTGATCCATCTTTGGTTTTAGATTTTTAAATTTAAGCTTGAGCTGCTTTTCTTGACTGCAAGTCAAAGTAAACCCAGTCGATGTATTTTGGATTCCTCAACTACTGATTAAGTGAAAGAGTAATCATCAGATGAAGAAATAGGCAAACAGTTGTTAGTTGAGCTGGACAATCTACCAGATTAAACTAACATGGCGTACAGATAATTATTTTCTTCTTCTTGCTGTTGATATTATTTGTCACAAGGGGTTTGGTTTTCCAGTGGGCTAGCTGGGGTTGTGACGCCACTGAGTGTGGACATGTCTTTGCTAAATCTGGTGACTCCAGAGAGCTCATTTTGCATTTCCGTTTCCAGTGTGGGAAAACCACATTTATACACCCCAAGACTCACAAAGATGAAAAGGAAGCTTCATTTGTTTTGACTTTTTGGATTACTTTTGTAGGCGTTTGCATCTTCCCATTTTGGCACTACAGTGTCCCTTTTTTCACCCCTCCTTCTTTCCTTTGCTTTCTTCACACAGTTGCAGCTTATCAGTACCAACCTGTAAGCTCACGAGAGTGCCATGCACTCTGTGCTCCTTACATTAGTTGCTCTGTATCACAGGGCTGATGAAATAAACTCACCAGGCTCAGTCCAGAGGAAGCCAATATTCACTCTTAGAGAAGGAGCTCATCACATCAAGCGGTTCTTGTTTAAGTGGGCTGTCACAGGAAAGTTATTGAGTTGCCATTATTAACATTTTCTTCTTCCGTATGTTTTTCAGCATTTATCTTGTTTCAAAATTTTGCTTYTGGTACTTCAGAAATTTATACTTTTTGAAATATTTAGCTTTTTCTGCCATTTTTCTTCTCATTGAAAATGAATGGAGCTGTCTTTAACATCCCTAAAACCCTTCAAAAATATTCATAAATCATTGGCTATTCAGTTAATTTCAACTTTCTGTTCTTCTTTCTGTGCTTTTCAGCTGTTTTCTGCTAATTTCAGCTGTGTTCTGTTTTTTAGCTGCTTTTTGTCTAATTTGAGCTTTTTTCAGTTAAATTCCCCTTTTTGTGATAATTTCAGCTTTTTGCTGAGTAAAGGTTATTTAATATTTTTTGCTCATTTTTAATACATTTCTTCTCAGTATAGCTGTTTTGACACACGTTTTCTATTGTACTTTTTTTAACCTTTCTGTTTTTCTATTTTCAATAAAATCAGTTGTTCAAATTTAACTCATCGATTTTTCTATTAAAAATTTTCAGCTTGTCTTCAGCTCCTTAGGCAGCTTTCAGCTAAAATATCAGCGATAAGCATTCACACAGCATTTTCGCAGGAAATGCAAAATTCTCTAGTTATTTTTATCTGATAAATGCTATGAATGGGAATTTCCAACATGCTGCTGTATCTCGCCCATTATTGGTTTTGTGGAAACTGAAGAGCAGGAATCCTTGGATGGTATTTATTGATCCTCAGGGGCACCAGAGACTGATAAATTGTGGACGTCATTGGGAATGTGCAGTTTTGCAAAACATTAATTAGGCAAAACTATGTGTAGACTGAGTTATGTTTGGCACTTTTGCATTTAGGTTAAGCATAATTGTTGGCGAGTGAGCTGGCAGCGTACTGCTTTTGACTACATATTATTCTAATGTTAAGTCTTATAAATCATGTCAGGTGTGTTTTTAGATGCAATGTTTTTGTTTCACTAATTACGTGCACAAAAAAAGTAATGCATGATACACCTTTTAACACACTGTCCTTGTTTATCTTGTCTGACAAAGCAAACTCGTCTGTAACATCTAACATCTGTATTAATCATCTGCATAACTGCTCATGTGGATTGTGTTCTGCAAACTCAATGTGGAAAACTCGTTTCTGGCTTTATGCTTAAAATCTGTTCTTGTGTTTTTTTAAAGACTTTGGTCCCACAGCGAAGTTACATCAAAGCTGAAAATATATTTGCCCTGACCTAGCTTCTCCCACCAGGATTTGGCATGTTTTCTGTGTTGTCCATCACTACCACGGCCCTGTGCTGGCTTTCATTCCCACAGGGACATGCAACGACGTCAGCTGACATTTCTGCTTTCAGCATTTAGTGGAACATCAGTGAGTTTTCAGCTGGCTTTTGGGATGAGCTCTAAAAGCGGGGTCAATCTGTCTGCGACGTGTCTTTGCCAGTGGGCGATGACCCCCACGCTGTAGAGTCCTGTTTCTGTCGAGGGGCCAGACTGTGGACGGGTCCTCTGTGTTGTGTAAGCGAGAGATTAAAGCCATGCCTCGGTGGAGTTAGAAATTCCCATCCAGCAGGCCCCATCACGCTGACATTGCTAGCTAGACAGAAAACAAAAGCACTTCATGCTGCTGCGGCCTTGTCACCACTGCACTGTCGACACTTTTTCTAAAGGCTCTGTTGCACTATAACGTTTTAAACAGCTTTTGAAAATTTTGTCCAACTTAGACAACGTCTACACTAAAGATGGAATAAAAAAATCAACTGAAAGCATCTTTTGGATGTATACATAGTGCAGTGCTAACAATTAGATAAAATAAATAACCTATGAGTTATTTAGTCAAAAAAAATCATAAATTGTCTAAAATGTTATAGTATGACAGAGTCTTAAGCATTGCCATCAGCTCTGTTAAAGGCATGGCAGCATGTTTGTTTTAAAGCACCTCTAAAACCTCATCTGTTTCTGACACTAGATTATCAATGCATCTTGATCATTTCTGAGCTTTGTAATACATATTTGAATGTTTTAACATGTTCCTACATTACTATTCTCACTTCACCAGACAGATTATTGGGTAATTCACAATATTTATTCAACTGTCTTTTAATCTTGTATATAAATACTGTTTTCTGCAGAAGCTTCAGCTGCTGATTAAATAGTTGCATTTCACTTTTCGTGTTATGCATACCTGTGTATACCTTTCCATATCATTTAATGCAATTTAAATCATTTTACACACGTCGACACAATTTTTGGWACCCAAAGAAAAACCCACAATGGTCACAGAAATAACTAGAATCTGACAAAAGTAATAAATAAAAATTCTATGAAAATGAACAGATGAAAGTCAGACATTGCTTTTCAACCATGCTTCAATGGAATCTTTTTTTTATAAATAAAACTCATGAAACAGGCCTGGACAGAAATAATGGTACCCTTAACTTAATATTTTGTTGCACAACCTTTTGAGTCAATCACTGCAATCAAACAATTCCTGTAACCGTCAGTGACTTCTGCASCTCTCAGCAGGTATTTTGGTCCACTCCTCATGAACAAACTGCTCCAGTTATCTCAGGTTTGAAGGCTGCCTTTTCCAGACGGCATGTTTCAGCTCCGTCCAAGATGCTTAATAGGATTTAGGTCAGGATCATAGAAGGCCACTTCAGAATAGTCCAGTGTTTTCCGCTTAGCCATTCTTGTGTGTTTTTATCTGTGTTTTGGGTCATTATCCTGTTGCAAGACCTATGAGCTGCGACTGAGACCAAGCTTTCTGACACTGGGCAGCACATTTCTCTCTAGAACCCCTTGATAGTCTTGAGATTTCATTGTACCCCACACAAATTCAAGACACCCAGTGCCAGATGCAGCAAAGCAGCCCCAGAACATAACAGAGCCTCCATGTTTCACAGTAAGCACAGTGCTCTTTTCTTCACGTGCTTCATGTTTTTCCTCTGTGAACACAGAGCTGATGTGCCTTGCCAAAAAGTTCCATTTTTGTCTCATCTGTCCATAGGACATTCTCCCTGAAGCTTTGTGGCTTGTCACCATGTAGTTTAGTAAATTCCAGTCTGACTTTTTTCTATGATTTGTTTTTAATAATGGTGTCCTCCTTGGTTGTCCCTCATTAAGTTCACTTTGGCTCAAATAACGACGGATGCTGCCATCAAGTTCCTTGAATTTGAAGTTCACCTTTAATGTCTGTAGACGTTTTTCTGGGCTCTTTTGTTACCATTCGTAATATCCATCKCTTTGATTTGTCATCAATTTTGGGGTTGGCTACAGTCCCATGGATCTTACATTTCTGAATAATATGTGCAGTTGCAGTCACAGGAATATCAAGCTGCTTGGAGATGGTCTTATAACCTTTAGTTTTAACATGCCTGTCTATAATTTACTTTCTAATCTCCTGAGACAGCTCTTTCCTTCACTTCCTCWGGTCCATGTTGAGCTTGGTAYACACCATAGTCCTAAACAGCACAGTATCTGTAGCCCTATATACAGGCTCACTGACTGAGAACAAGATTGTAGACACCGGTGATGCTAATTAGTGGACACRCCTGGATTTAACATGTCCCTTTGGTCATATCATTTTCAGGGCTACCATCATTTCTGTCCAGGCCTGTTTAATCAGTTGTATTTATTTTTTTATTCTGTTGAAGCATGGTTGAAAAGCAATGTCTAACATTTTCATTTGTGCATTTTCATATAATTTTTATTATTATTATTATTAGCTTCTAGTCATTTCTGTGACCATTGTGGGTTTTTCTTTCATTAAATAAGGGGTACCAACAGTTTTGTCCACGTGTGTATTTATATAGTGCCTGTTTTTTATCTTAAATCCAGTTCAGATTAAGATTAAAATCCATAAACAGTCAGTTCATGCAAACTTTGTATAGAATTTCTGGAAATACTTTAAATGTCAGATGATACACTGAACTTCAGTACTTTGTGTACATTTCTCAGAGCATGTTTCTTTGTGCTGAACGACGTGTTCCTACAGGCAGGGGGAATGCGATTCAATAGCGTTTCGTTAGGCAAAGACGGAAACGGCACAAAGACGTAGCGTAATGAGAAAATAAGAGCTGATCTTGAAGTACATWCTAGGTGTTTCATTGTGTTTTGACATGTTTTTTTCCTGTTGACGTACGAAGCGTGGGTGTACTCGTACAATACATTGGATATATTGTTCCTTGGTACAACAAACCTGGAAAACAACAAACTTATCTATGAAGCTCTTTTATAGAACAAATTTGCTGTTCATGCATATATGACTGGCCAAGGGTACTCTAATTAGTCACGTATCACTCACACCTCTCACAATCATTAACCAGCCTTGACTGTGGCCAACCTTAAAATCCTACAGTTTTACAGCCGTTTCATTGATCCCYCACCTGTGTGACAAAGGTGTATTCACTCTTAGTTGACGCACAGTCTGTCCGGCACAAAGGATAGTAGTATCTCTGATTTATTTGCACAGGTGGGGCTCGGTTATCTCTGCTTTGTGGCAATTCAGGCAACCCCATTAGCAGATTAGCTAATGATTTAATGTGGGGTTGTGTCGTGCAACAGCGGCACAAAAACCAATCAAGATGTCCCAGTGAGCCATGACTGTAAACTACCTCCTGCATAAAGACATAACCCTTTTGTTCTGAGTGTTTGTGCACACTGAGCCTAATGGTTTTAAATATGATCATCAGGGAAAAATAAGCTTTTTAGAGCCAGACATTTCTATCTTATCTCTTCTAAAGTTGCATCATTTGTTCCTAGCTGCTAACATTTTTCTACAACTTTTTAAACTCAAAGTTCTGGTTTGACTACTTGTGTACCACTTTGCCAGTTCAGTTGGACTTTCTGCACTGTTAAACACGAAGGGAATGCTAATGAGGTGTTTCTCTGTGTTTGTTGAATAAGCTCAGCAGGACCGATGTACCAGCCTGAGGGAGAGTGTGTAACTCAGTACAATAGATGATGCCAAAAAGGAGAAAATCCTCGTGATGCAATCCACAATAAATACATAGCAACTGTATAAACGTTACACCTGTGTATACAAAAGAGATGTTTTACGTTATTTTGTTTTTACGCTGCTTTATAATCGTCAAACAGGATTTAGAAAAATCGTATGAGAAGACGCTCATGATAGGGCTGCACAGCGCATCGCAAATTTATCGTCAGTGCGATAACAGCTTGTGCAAGAAGCATAACTCATAAAACTGGAAAAAACATCAACCTTTAGTTTATTTCAAGGGATATATTTAATACATTTAGCTGTTTACTGTGTTTTCTGTAGAATCCGTTTCTGTCACTGTAAGAACCTAGTGGTTTTATATGACAGACCTGTTATTTTTTAGACTCTAGTGAAGTATAAAAGCAGGTTTTCTATGCGTCATCCCTTGCAATGCCTCTTATCTAGACTGCCTTGTCAGTGATTTGGTACAAATTACAGATTGTACTGAAAACAGGGTGACAACCGCCTTTTCCAGCACACTGAGATGTTCCCAGAGAGGTAGCATGGGAGAATGCAAATGACTGCAGAATTCACTCTGAACTCTAGTTGAAAATCCACCCACCACTCATTATAAGATGCACTGAAAATCGGTGTCCAAACGTTGCAGAAAATCTCCTGTAATGAAGTAATTGTGTGTCCTTGTAAAGCTGCTGCTTCATTCTTGTTTTACTCTGTGATGGATACGTTTAGTGTTACATACCGTTATATCAGTAAAAGTATCTCCTCGTGCTGTTTTGTAAAAAAAACTAAATAGCAATTTCCTCATGTGCTTTTTACATCAAGCCTTGCATCCTGTTTATATTTGTGTGTGGTTTATGAACTAACAAGAGGAAACAGAAACGATGTAGGCAAAATAAATTATCTTGCACAAGTTATCATTATCAAGCAAGATTTATTTTTAGATGTTGAGTTTGTGAAAATCAGGTGTTTAATGGTGCGTGTGCTGAAGTTGTGTCGGCTCCGTTTGTGAGACAATTCTGATTTTTAATTTGTGTTGCTGCTGTACAGTTCACCGCCTCCACTTTCAGAAACAAGACCCTGTAATAGATTTTGAAATGAGTTATTGTTGCTGAACAAGAATCGAATTTATGCTCAGGATTTTCACTTTTACAGCGTGATGAAGATTTATTATGGTTTTTCAAAGGAGTCATAAAAATGACTTGTTTTATATCAAAAATTCAGTTTATGGAATAATATATTTCTGCGGATGATTGATTTTGAAAATGTTGAAAACGAACAGCTGATTTAAGGAAGTTTTATTTGACCGTAATCCTTCATCTCTGCTTTTCATCTCTTGTCAGCTGGACCTCAGCCAGCCTCTAGAGGACCAGGGTCCGCTGGACGTCATCATTCACAAACTGACCGATCTCATGCTGGAAGCTGACCAGAATGATTCACAAGCAGTGCTGCAGCTGCAAAGAGTACAGGTACTCATTTCTCTTGTGCTGATTGCTATTTTGCTAGTTTTCACAAACATAGGGGAGCAAAAAAAAATCAAGAAAATAAGAAAAAAGTTATATTTTCAACAACTTGAACACATAATTTTAGAATTATCTTTAAAAAAAATTTTTTAATGTTTATTTGTTGCTTTATACTTATCATTTAAAGGTGTTTGGGCCTAAAAATAATTTGGAACTTGTTAACAATACTCATAATAATGTATACCACTGCTCAAAACTGAATAATCAACCTTAAATATTGGGTAGTAATGAYCAGCCATCTTGTTTGGGCTCATTATCACTCGCTGCCTTCAAACAGCAGAGATCAGTCTTTTTGCCTGTCTGTGTTCCTGTCTGTTACCAAAACAARCAGATTTTAATTAAACTGATTAAATGTACATCTACAACCTGACCAACCCAAAACGTCTGTGACTCAGTCCGTTTTACAAATATTGAGCTGAATATTGATGTGGTAACAGTCATTCACAGTGTGTACTTTGAGCGTGACATCTCGCAATCTCATGACAATCTGTCAGAAGTTTGACTAAAATGAYTACAGCTTTATCGTTTCTCAACCTAAGATGATCTGTGTCTAAAATTCTGGCATGAACCGTGGTGGGCGACATGCATTCCTTCAAGAAAAGCTTGGTTGTTTTATTATTAGAGGAGATGATTTCACCTGTGTGCCTGCATGATTGTCAGCATGTGTTGCAGAAAATTAGTTTTGTTAATAAAGGTTCCTAAARTAACTTTTTTAGTTAAAAAATGACCAATTTTTTTTTATTATTGTTGCAATATAAATGATTTCATTGCATCTGATCGCATGATGCAGTTAGTGTCATCATCATGCAATATTTACTTCACATCCAGTGTTCTGTTTAAGAAAAATGTGTTTGCTATGATGCTACTGTGGACAATAAATGAGTTTCACATTTATAGTTAGTATAAGCGTCCCAGTTCAGAGAATGAATTAATATGTTCAAGGAATCGAGCAGACAGGCTGCAGGAACATAAAGGCTCTATCAGCTGTACTTAAGCACACAGTGACTCATAAAAAACCTAAAAGCCTTCTACGAAAAGACTTCTCTAAGTCTTTCCACTTTGAGAAATGTCTCACAGGGGCAGAAGATAACGAAAAAAACTAACAGGTGCGCCTCGGTGTCTGTGTGTTCATTAAACTGGCAGTGCAACAGATGGTGTGAAAATTAATTTTATTACACCATCTCTGGCTCYTATTCTCTCTCTCTCTCTGCCTCAGCCTCACTGAATGATTGTGAACTGTTATCATGATCACCGTCATGCAGCTCTGTCAACACTTTTCTGACTACTCAGTTAGGAAGGACAAAACAGGATGTCAGAGTGGAGCAATCACTTTAACGTCTATTTCTGGTCAATATTAGCACAGGACTGAATGTGATGCTTGTTGTGGTTCTAATATCTATTTTTATTTTGGCCCATTGCTGTAACAGACATAAAAGGTAAAGGTTCTTGAGGTAAATCATAATATACGTTATCGATCCAACATTATAACTAGTCGAGTTCACAGAAGTTTCATTAAATCCATCCTCTTGTTTATGAGATATGCACACAGACACACACACGAGCAAAAACACCAATTTCGCTTCAGTGGCGGGTGATTAAAAATCTCCACTTCCTGTAAGCCGTAACGACTCGTCTTGAACATCTTAGCCTTTTTTTTTCACTGTTTTTTTTTCTCCTAAGTTTGTCACTGTAGCTGAGGATTAAGTTTAAACAAGCTGGTAACTTTCACAGCCGAGTCTGTGCAACTGAAGTTGTGACGTATCTAAACTTCATTTGTGTTTACTTTTCTATTTGAAATATAAGGCTTGGCATCTTTTCTTATGACCATCCAGCTGTTCTTATAAATAAGCTTTTGTGTGGCGGTGGCGGAGGGAACAAGCTTCCCTCTCTGTAACAGCTCTGTAGTTCAAACAACATGTCATCCCTGGATACACACTTTAACTTCTGTGGCTTCAGGTGGGAGAACAGAGTTCCCGGAACAAATAACTGTATCTTTTTTTCTGGAACTATATGATGATGGTTGTTATGATTAAAGTATTTCAGAAAAGGCTGTTTATTTAAACCTACTGAGAAATATAGTGTTTGAAGTTTAGAGTCTCACCCAGTTGGATTTGATTTATGTAAATGTTGTATATTTTTTAATCCTTTTTGGATTTAATGCATTTAGTGCCACAGACATACTTACTGAGGTTTCAGGTCATTTATTTTCTCCTGAAGACAGATCTAATCCAAAAATGAACAAAATGCGCAGCTTTCTCATCCACCCACACTGTTGTACGTCTGGCTCTTTTTCTTTCCAACACCTGCTGAACACAGGCTTTTTTTCCCCCTTCTCACCTCCCCCTCTTGTCTGTCTCTAACTGTATTTCTTCTTCTGAAATGCTGAAATCTGCGAAAGATGTTTACACACACACACACACACACACACACACAAATATTTCTCCAAACTCCTAGAAGTTTAGCGTGAAATTATGTTTATGGTATGTTTGACTTGCATAACAGCTCAGTTTGCTTTGATCAGAGTTGCCTTCAGATCCCAGTAAATCCTGCAGATGGAGCCTCCGTGGTGAGGCAGAAGAGTGTGTTTACATCCCTTTGTGCATCATTACGTACGTGCACCAGAAGTCATTTCACAAATGGGTGCGTAACGCATCACGTTTCTGCATGTATTTAAAGTAAACGTGACTGTACGGCCTGTGATGTGCACAGGCAGCCAGTTTTTGTGCAGGCCAGCCTAACCCAGTCAGCAGAAACTGTTCAGTACAGGCTGGCAGAAAAAAGATCTATAGAATTGAGGCTGAAACGTGGAGAGGAAAGAAAGCGCTGGAGAGGAGGTGGAGAAGAGTCAACAAGAAAAGACAGTAAAGGGCTGAGCAGTTATGTAAAATAGTCGACCTCATGCTGACCCAACAGCCGGCAGAAAGAGATGTCGTGATGTAACCTCCACAGACCCGCTGGCATTCATTGCATCCTCCCTCCTGCTTCCTCTCAGACTTCTGCCGAGGCCTGTCGACCCCTCAGCTCACTCTTTATGCTGTGCCCAATTTAATGGAACCTTTTTTTTTTTAAATCTGTAGACAGATTTTCGTGCGTGCACCCAGACTCGATGACTATCGGTTTCTGCTTTCGTTGTGTTTCAACGATTGTAAAAACAAATTTCCAAAGCTTGAATGATTTACTGAAAACTTAAAAATGAACATTCACTATAATGATTCAGATAAAAATAATTATAAAATGTTTCATAATAAAGCTTAACCACAATGCAAAGTTTAGTTAAGTAAAATATTTAAACTTAAAAATCTATAATCAATTACTGTGGTTTCACGGTTAAAGTTCAAGCAGTGATTTATACCAAAGCACAATAAAACATTATAATAACATTCTTTTTGTGTTTTCTTTTTTATAGAAAAAAAATATATATATATATTTCTTTTTTTATGATTAAGAAGAAGAAAATGTTTCTTTACTGTTTAAGAAAACATGTTATGACTTGAACAGACTTCTGTCTCTCTGAAGGAGGCCTTCTGAGACCAAGGTCAAAGACAGGTGGAACTGTTTATTCCACCCCTAGGTGAACACTGCACCCGTGCAAAGCTGTAGAAATGAGCATCAGTGAAAACCTCCAGAAATGACAAACAACAAGACAGAAGGATGACACAAAATCCAACTAACGCAATAACATGAAAAGAACTTGTTTGCATGTTAGCTTGAGAGAAAATGGATATCGCCTTATAGGGTTTCACCTGTGAGTCAGGAACAATGAAGACTCAGAGGCTTGAGTGGAAAAACTGTTGCAACAATGAATTTGCATGGAAATACTGTGTTGCCTAACAATGACATGAGAGTTTGACTATTTAGTCAGAACAAGGTGTGACAAGAAAAACTCTGGTCTTTTATACTGCTGGGWAAAAAGACCATAATGTCACAATCTTTATTATTTTTACATCTATACACCCACATAGCTGGAAAATCTGATCTGTTGTGGCTCCAACTCTTTGCTCTATTTTCTGATCTCTTTCTGTCACATAAATGTCCAGCTTTGTTCTTCAAACATTAACCAACATATCTTGAAAATGGTCACTTATCTAACTGTACAAGTGCCACAAAGACAAAACAACATCAAGATGTCTTCAAATTAAAAGCAAAATACTTTAAATGCAGTTATTTAGTTTCCTGTAGCTCTGGTTCAATTTAAAACCTTGAAATGCTCCCTATGATTTTCCTTCTGCTGTCAAAAAGATTCAGAAGCACTTTGTTTAAAGGTTGACCCAAAACCTAAAACTGCCTTTAAATATGCGTTACTGTTGTCTGACAGGTTATTTTAGAATTAGATGAAAAATAATGTAGACCTGGCCAGCTCAAACACACGTTTTTTTATTATTGGCTTTGGCGATCAGAAGAATTAGTTTTATCATGATTTAAGAAATAACAAATTTATGTTCCCTTTACTAGTTCTAACTTTCATAGATTATTGTAAAGTAATTCTTTAATTATTACAAGTTGCTCTTGGTTGAGATGTTACTGAAAATCTGACATGTAAAAAAAACAAAGGATTAAAACCTTTTTTTGTATTTTTTTTATTTCTGTTCTTTTCTTCAGGACTACATTGATGCCCACCCTGAAACCATAGTCCTGGACCCTCTTCCAGCCATCCGAACTCTTCTGGACCGCTGCAAGTCCTACCAACTCATCCACAGGATAGAAAGATGCATGCAAGGTAAACATTTCCGTCTCGTTTCTCACCAAGACAAAAATAGTTGCAAACCAGTCAGATTTATCAAACCAAGTAAATTTGTTTTCCTTGGTTGAAGTTAAAYTGCTGTTCGGTGAAGAAATCTGATCTTAGCTGTTCTGCATCATCATTAAGTTTAGCGAGCTGCTATCTGACAGGCGATGACAAAGCTGTACTGATATCTTTGTACCTTCCTTCCCCGGTACTTTATGCTATAGAAAAGCAGAAGTTGTCTTAAGTGATCAAGTAACGCCGCAGCTTTCAGCTTGACTAAACGTTCCTACTATTATYAAACAAAGTGAAATTAACTGCAGGATCTCTCTCTTTCCTTGTCTCTTTCTAGAGGAGACATTTTTGTGAAAAACAGCAGTGCTGTTGCTTCTCACTTGAGCTATTTGCTTTCATGCAGATGATTAACGCTCCTGGTCTATGCTGTTATCAGACACAACAGTAACTCTTAATTTCTCAGTCTGAACTCAGTGTAAACTTCTCCCTTTGATGGATCAAAACTTGCTTTCTAGTCGGTCCAGCAGCACCCTCCCCCAGCACACATTAGCTGATCAGTGGGCAGTGTGTTTTAGCTGGAAGCGCTGACGACAAATGTCACACTCTTGATTATAAAACCCCGGTAAACAAACCTGTGACTCATCTACTCTTTCCTCACCTCCACACATGTAAAGCTTTTTAGTTTTTTAGTTGTTTTTTTTTTCTTCCTTCGCCGAGCCTCCGTGAGTGTGTGATGGGCTGCAGGCTGGTGTCAGAGCAATGGATCAGAGACTTTTCAGCACGTCGTCGTCTGTGTCACAGCTTTCTTAAAATAGAACCATAGGAAGAGAGGACTTTTCATCCAAACAGACTTGACGGCCATTACATAACTAGAATAAGCAGCGTTGCTCTGTTGTGCTGCGTGCAAAAGCTTTAAAGTGGAAGATGGCTGCATTTATAGGCAGCTCGTTTATTTATTTTTTTCCATTGTGAGTAGTCCTCAGTCTGCTTACAGGTCTGCATACCAAACCTGTAGAGTCTTAAGCCTTTATAATCCTATCGTGTAAATCATAATAAGCATGTGACAAATGTGTTTTTAATTGTCTGCAGTAAAACGAGAGACTGCGAGGACTGGATTAACACGAGGGAAAAGTGTAGGCGTGTCTTAGTTCAAAGCTACTTCCTCCTCCTTATCATAGGAGACCACGGAGTCCTGTATCAGCTGCCAAGGCAACCCAGGACTGAAAACCCAGAGAAAGGCTGCAGTGTTCTGCGTGACTCAGAAATAGTGCTCAATAGGAGGAAGCACTTGAGGTGCGCTTGTCCTTTTAGTGGAAAAACGAACGTTGTTTTATCACTCGAGTGGCCTCTTGATGCTAAAAGGCCTCCGTTTCAGACCAACTAGCTTCTCTCTTCAAACGGTTTGAGTAGTGATCTTAACAGTGTGTAAGAGTTGGTTTTCTGTCAGGTTTAGTATAAAACAGCCAAACTCTGGTCACATGAGATCACWTAGATCAGTGTTGTTTGTTTGTTTATTAAAGGTGATCCCCATTAGTCTTCACCTTTTAAGAAGACTATTCCTCTGGGGTCTTAACACAAATCAAACAATATAAAACAATACACAACCCAATCCAACCTCTTCCTATACACACACACACACACAAACCCACATCACTGTCACCCAGTCAAACAACAACTTTTCAAATTCTTTCTGAGAAGACCGTAAACAAGTCTGTAAGAAATTTTTCAAAATTGGTAGCCCGAATAATACGCAGAAAACCGATTCTCAGTTAAATGTTTATTTTCAGATCTAAAGACTCCCTTACACTCAGAGCCTGAGTGGCTTCAGAGTTTAAATAAAATATCCCTGAATCGCATGATGTCATACTTATCAAATCCCTGATCACACCACCTGGGGCTGTCCCTCTTACGTCAGCGATGCCAGAAATCTTAAATATTATTCTTACACTGCTGGAGTGAGTCACATAGAGATTTGTTGATTCTCTTACTGTTTAAAGTAAAATGACTGTAAAAAGATTGTATCTAAAATTCAGTTAATCAGTTACAAAACATAAGTATATCATTGACTTTAAATCATGATAAACTCATATGCATGAAAATCCACATTGGTTCTAAAATCACAAACAAGTTCTAATCTTACGGCTTTGTTTTGAGCAATTTGCAATTCGTATAGATGGGTTTTTTTGAGCCACTCRATCACAGCAGGACAATAATCAAGATGACATAGAACTAAAGACTATATTAGCAACTTTCATATTCAGTTGGCCAGTTGATCAGTTGTAACTCCTAACAGTATTTGTTGGTTATTTAAAGAAATATCAAACATTGGAGTTTGTCTGATAAAATGTTTAAAGCCAAATATTATACATTTAGTTTTTGATACATTAGGTTTTAGTTTGCTCTTTGTTACCCTCTCATGAACATACAGTAGTTGTTGCTGTAATATCTGTATCTTCTATTAACCCTGATGAGGTAAATGAGATATTATGATGTCATCTGCATAAAGAATTTGCTTTTACTTGTCATTGATTCATACCTGGAGCTTTAGAGCTGCTTTGTCTAATGTGTTTTTTTATGTTTCCCACATGAGCCAGATAAAGGTGGGTGTTCATGTTGCTTAGTGGAAGCTACTGGTTCCTCTGTTTACAGGAGTTTTTGTTTCTTCAACTGTCTCTATAGACAGCAAACCGTTGTCATATCAACTGTCCCACAAAGCAACAGCCTGCTCAGCGTTCAAAGCTCATTTCTTTCTACCTTTTAACTCAAAGCTCAACTTCGTTCATTGAGGAAAAGTGTGCCGAGGCCTCTGAGCTAGCTTTCATCTGTGCTTCAACAAAACCTCAACAGACTCATGTCCCGTTTATGCAAGTGATAATATTTAATCATAGCAACAGCCTGGAGGACAAACACTTTGAGATTGTGGTAAAGGCAGAGAGGACTGCTGCCTAATCTGGGTAAACTGTTTCCTGCTTGGGAGGTTTGCCTCATACTGTTATACTTTAACCAGATATCAGTCAGGTGATCATTTTGATAGAGTTCTGTATTTTTTTATTATGTGGGAGGAGGGAAATCCATTAACAACTCTGTGATTAACTCTAAGGCCTTTTTAGAGTTCAACATGAAGGGGGGGCAATAGTCTCAAAATAAAACAGTTTGGAGTTCAGTTTAGAGGTTTAAGATCTGAAGACTACCTTGGAGAGGACTGGATGTTTGTGTTTCTTGGAGACAAACTCTAAAAATCAACAGGAGTTCCACCTAAACAGAAGTTAAGTAACTCATGTAAAGGTGGCTGCCTGTTGTTTGTCTAAAACCTCAAACCCAAAATATGAGACCTGCATCGGTGGTGTTACAACACACCTTTTAAAGAATCCAGTCTCACCTAATTCTGCCAGGTTGTTGATTTTGGTTGACTGGAAGCGAACAAATGAGGAAATGCAGCAGAGAGAATAAAAATAAACAGCTTAATTGTACAGTAACATTTAAAAAAGCATCTCGTTGTCAGGTCCAGTAAATGTCGTCCCTGGCTCCGCTTGGTCTGCTGCAAGCACGCAGTGTTTAGACAGAGCCCGAGATTGATCCTCCTCACCAGCCCGTCTCCCTGAAGCATCAACCAGAGCCAAGCATTCACACTCTTGAAAACTTGGCCACACGCTCTCATCCACTATTCCTTTCTGTCTTTTATTATAAATAATTTGCCTGGAACCTTTAAATGTTTTCCATTTGACAAGGTTTAGATCTTCTGGCAGCTTTTTGTTTGACACATTTTAACACCACCAGCCTTTGGGAACTTGGTGACGTAATGCAGGGATGTTTCCCCATCAGATTTTCTGTTGAACGTTAAGCTGCTATTCTTGTCCTGATAGATTTATTTTTTAAAAAAGCCCTCTGCGTGAGGGGCTAAGATGACGGATGAGTAAACTTCCAGGTTTCCTGCCTTTGACACAGCCTGGGTAAAGAACCGGAGCTGGATCTGGGACAGACCCAGCTGCTCAGGGGAAAGTCCGAGCAAGTATCTGCCTGTAAAGAAGAAGGATGATCATTTCTGCTCCTGTTGATCACGTAACACCAGAAATTAAAAAAACAGCTTTGACTTATCTGATTTGATTTGCTTTGAAATATTAGTTTGAGCAAGTCGTCTTGATTGGAAATTGGTTTAATTTTACAGGAACGGGAATTTGGGGGGAAATTGGTTCAACTCTTTGTTTTTTCACTGTCATTCTACTGACGTTAATTCACAACAAAGTAAAAACTGTTTAAATAAAAATACAATATTGTTATACATTGTATATTTTTATAAGTATTCTATAAGTATTCTGAACTTTTTTAATTTAACTTTCTTGATTATTTTCTTTAGATAAGAAATATAAGTGCTCAGTGTTTGTGAAAGTTCTTGGTCTTCCAGGGCAAAGTAATCATAGGAAGTTTGTGTGAAGGCAACTGGACTTCTTGCGCAGATCACTCCCCTTGCCCTCCAGGTGGTCCAGTTCTCAGAGGCAGTTGGCATAAAGGTTCAGGGTCCAGCTGGCTCACGTAAAGTCTATCACAGAGTTTAACTTGGTTTTCTTACAGTTTTTTTTCTCAATTGTTTGCACACTTTTTTTTGAAAGCGTGCTTCGTGAAATCCTAAATCACACACACAATGAGCAAAATGTAACTTTACATTCAAAACATTATTTCTTCTCAAAATGGTATTTTACCTTCAGATGACACACAAACCATCATGTGTTTATAAGAACCAAAACACTGATGTGCTCAGTTTAAAACACTGACTTTTTCTCCATTTATCATAATGACAAACTTTTTTTGGTTCAGTATTACACTTATTGCCAACAGTCCATACATAAATGTGCTGTAAAATATGTTTAGAATATTGTTTTTATACTCAAAAAGTTCTGATTGCTAAATTTAAAACTGTTTGACAGATGTTTGTCAATGTGATGAGTCAATGTGCATAGTAAGACATTTAAATTTAAAGTTTTGAATGACGGTGTGTTCATTGTGAAAATAAGTGATTTCTTCTTGGTAACTGTGCCAAAAATAATTGTGAGTAGTGTTTTGGGAAAAGTGTGTTTTTAGAACTGAAATACAGTGGGAAAAAGAAGTATTGAACACATCACCATTTTTCTCAGTAAATATATTACTAGAGGTGCTAATGTCATGAAATTTTCAACAGATGTCGGTAACAACCCAAGTGATCCATACATACAAAGAAATCAAACCATAAATGTCCAGAAATGAAGTTATTTGTAATAATGTGGAATGGCACAGGGAAAAAGTGTGAGGTTTAGACAGGAACAGATCCAGGG